ACTTCGTATTTCTTTCCAGAAAATCTCCCCATACAGCAGGGAGTCGTTTACATAATATGACTCCCTGCTCTACATCTACATGACTGTATAATTATACTAATGCGATTAATAGTATAAGTGAAGCGGACATTACAAAATGATGAATGAGAATACATGTATCTAAAATGGTTGTTCCAAACAACCATTTTAGATACATGTATTCTCATTCATCATTTTGTAATGTCCGCTTCACTTATACTATTAATCGCATTAATAAAGTTGTTGTCTCCTCGTCGCCTTTTCGTATAATTATACGTTATAGTTATTATGCTATCCGCCTACATGCGATTCCCGGGCAGGTCGACAGGCGGCCCAGCCAGCCTGCTAATGGGATCTCGGCCTCGCACACAAATCCACACAAAATGTTACTGCACTGAATGCATTCCCCCGATACACTTCGCATATATACTAATGTGTTATTCTCTTGATGGTACCGTACTCTTGATGGTACGGGACAGGTACGGGATAGCGCCAGGTATGTCGATGGCACACACACACACAAAAATATTGTGGCCAGCTGTCTTTGCTGGTACGGTACAGTACGGGACAGATACGGGATAGCGCCAGGCGTGACACAAACAAACAAACAAACAAACACCAAACGAGAGAGCTTGGAAGCTCAGGGCCCTACGCTATGCTTTTTTGCTTGCTCATCATGCATGTGACGTGCCAAAGCCGTGTGAACCCTGGCTAGCGCCAAAGGATACTGAAGTAGCGTCTGTTGCACTACTACGCCGTTAATATTTTTTGTATATTTTTAATTTTTAATTTTTTTGTTACGTTTCCTGTGAACGGTAGGCGTATGCGGATAATGCCGGCAGAAAAATTGGCAAATTCGGTACTTTTTTGGTAAGTTTCCTGCATGTTTGGTATGTGGATAAAGAAATGGAGCAGAATTCGAGGAATTGCCCGCCATAGGTTTGTATGGTTCTGCCAATTTCACTGCTTTTCGAGCAGAATCTGCCACCTTTTCGAGCATTATCCGCACACCCCTAGTGACCGGCGCTGACTCTGCCGATCACGGGCGTTCTGGAGTCGACGCGATGTCTGTCCTGCCGTTTCCTGTGACCGGGGCTGACTCTGCCGATCACAAATGTTCTGGAGTCGACGGGATCTCTCTTCCGACGTTTCCTGTGACTGGCGCTGACTCGCCCGTTCAGGATTATTTTGGAGACGACGGGATCTCTCTTCCAAAGGTTGTTTTAGCTGACGCATCATGTCACATATTCGGCAAGTAACGTCCATTCTAATTGCATTTCTTCATCTCCCTACTTCGTATTTCTTTCAAGAAAATCTCCCTAGACAGCACGGAGTCGTTTACATAATACGACTCCCTGCTATACATCTATATACGTGTGGCGTGTGTTTACCGCCATATTGCCAGGTGTGTCTTCACCACCATATGTATCAACATCTATATACGTTATAATTATTATGCTATCGGCCTACATGCGATTCCCGGGCTGGTCGACAGGCGGCCCAGCCAGCCTGCTAGTGGGATCTCGGCCTCGCACACAAATCCACACAAAATGTTACTGCACTGAATGCATTCCCCCGATACACTCCGCATATATACTCATTCTCTTGATTGTACCGTATTCTTGATGGTACGGGACAGGTACGGGATAGCGTCAGGCATGCCGATGGCACAAACAAACCAAAATATATTGTGGCCAGCTGTCTTGGCTGGTACGGTACGGTACGGTACGGGACAGATACGGGATAGGGGCAGCCGTGACACAAACAAACAAACAAACAAACAAACAAACAAACAAACACCAAATTAAAGCTGTGTGGACCCTGGCTAGCGCCAGACGTTACTGAAGTAACGTCTTCTGCATAGCTACGGGAATTAAAGCTGTGTGGACCCTGGCTAGCGCCAGACGTTACTGAAGTAACGTCTTCTGCATAGCTACGGGAATTAAAGCTGTGTGGACCCTGGCTAGCGCCAGACGTTACTGAAGTAGCGTCTTCTGCATAGCTACGGGAATTAAAGCTGTGTGGACCCTGGCTAGCGCCAGACGTTACTGAAGTAACGTCTTCTGCATAGCTACGGGAATTAAAGCTGTGTGGACCCTGGCTAGCGCCAGACGTTACTGAAGTAACGTGGCTGGTTAAAATCGCCCGCATCACATGCTTATTGGCACTATGTCATCGTGATTGTGAAATAATAATAATAATAATAATAATAATAATAATAACGTCTTCTGCATAGCTACGGGAATAATTATGAATAATTCCCGTAGCTATGCAGAAGACGTTACTTCGTAGCTATGCAGAAGACGTTACTTCAGTAACACCAAATTAAAGCTGTGTGGACCCTGGCTAGCGCCAGACGTTACTGAAGTAACGTCTTCTGCATAGCTACGGGAATTAAAGCTGTGTGGACCCTGGCTAGCGCCAGACGTTACTGAAGTAACGTGGCTGGTTAAAATCGCCCGCATCACATGCTTATTGGCACTATGTCATCGTGATTGTGAAATAATAATAATAATAATAATAACGTCTTCTGCATAGCTACGGGAATAATTATGAATAATTCCCGTAGCTATGCAGAAGACGTTACTTCGTAGCTATGCAGAAGACGTTACTTCAGTAACACCAAATTAAAGCTGTGTGGACCCTGGCTAGCGCCAGACGTTACTGAAGTAACGTCTTCTGCATAGCTACGGGAATTAAAGCTGTGTGGACCCTGGCTAGCGCCAGACGTTACTGAAGTAACGTCTTCTGCATAGCTACGGGAATTAAAGCTGTGTGGACCCTGGCTAGCGCCAGACGTTACTGAAGTAACGTCTTCTGCATAGCTACGGGAATTAAAGCTGTGTGGACCCTGGCTAGCGCCAGACGTTACTGAAGTAACGTCTTCTGCATAGCTACGGGAATTAAAGCTGTGTGGACCCTGGCTAGCGCCAGACGTTACTGAAGTAACGTCTTCTGCATAGCTACGGGAATTAAAGCTGTGTGGACCCTGGCTAGCGCCAGACGTTACTGAAGTAACGTCTTCTGCATAGCTACGGGAATAATTATGAATAATTCCCGTAGCTATGCAGAAGACGTTACTTCAGTAACGTCTGGCGCTAGCCAGGGTCCACACAGCTAATTTGGTATTTGTGTGTTTGTTTGTTTGTTTGTTTGTGTCACGCCTGGCGCTATCCGTATCTGACGGCAAAAAAGCATAGGATGTTATCAATTTTTCAATTTTTCCTATTTTTTTGTTCAGGCAAATCCTGGGATTCGAACCCGCACTGTCGCCCTACATGCATTCCCCCATACACTTCGCATTCATACCCATTCTTCCAAGTTGCTTCACGTTATTATCTTGCGTTTGAAAGCCCTATTTAAATATTGCGGGCAGCTGTATGTGGCCAGCTAGCTGTGTTTGATGGTACGGTACGGTACGGGAGACGGTGACGGTGTCGTATTACCCTCGATCGTACCTGTCCCGTACCTATCCCCTACCGTACCGTGCCATCAAAGACGGCTGGCCACAATCAGGGAGTAGTACAATATACATGTAGGTATTGTACTACTCCCTGGCCACAATGCATATTCAAATAGGGCTTTCAAATGCAAGATCACAATGTGAAATAACTTGTAAGAATTAGTATGTATGCGAAGTGTATCGGGGGATGCATGCAGGGCGCGCGATAGTGCGGGTTTTTTTTTTTTTTTTTTTTTAATTTCGGCCAGTCGGCTACTATCATTTTCGTCTTGGGGGCTAGACAAGGGGAAGTAGCCATGTCGGGGCGTGAGCCCGCCTTTCGGCACCGGGAGTTGCAGCTCGCTCGACTTCGAATCCCAGGTTGTCTTTAAAAAAAAGGATTTTTAAAAGAATTTATAACATCCCTATGCTTTTTTTTGTCTAGGTCATCAAGGCAAAAAAGCATAGCGTAGGGCCCTGAGCTTCCAAGCTCTCTCGTTGTATCTGTCGATACGGTCAGTGTTGTTGGCAGACAAAAGCGGAGGGTCCCGTCGAGTGCCTGAACCACTTGATTAACAAGCACTACAAGTAGAGTACAACAAAGGAATGAGGCGACAGTGCAGCCGTAGCCTAGCCCATAGCCTAGGCTAACACACCTGCGAAAACAATACATCTGCCGCTAGTAAAACACTGATTTAAATGTCGCCACTTTTTAATTCAATTACATGCACATGTACAGTCATGTACATGCGCATGTACATGACTGTACATGTGCATGTCCACATTAATTTTTATACTGCGTATGATTCGACTATGAAAGTGTAATCACGGACACCATGGACACAGTCACATAGTACCATGTGGATTGTTTGGCTGCACTGCACTGCACTGCGGCACGGGACCTACATGACATTATAGTAGAGGCATTGCAAGCTTCTGTACACGCACTAAACTACTTACTTGTGTAGCGCCCATGCACTTAGACTAAGTTAGTTAGAGTGTTTATGTGTTACAATGTAAGACTGAGTTTCCGTTAAAGTGACAGGCGATTTCCATCTGACATTGGTTGCACGGACGATGATCCGTGGAATGCGACGACACTGAAATCAGCTTTGATCTAGGAGGGCCTCAGTATCAGTTACGTACTTTGATCACTTTACGTGATAAACTGTGAAACTGCTCGCAGTTCTTTACCGCAGGGGGAGGAACCATCCCATGCCCAGTGCTCTCCCCTGCGTCGATCTACACACAGGAGCTGCTCGGCGGAGTGCTCGCACAGGTGCTGCTCGCACAGAATTCAGTGCTGATCATGAGCAGTACAGTCACACACACGCGAATAGTCACTGAGTCACGCACTCGCAGCGCAGGTGTTGTGCCGAACCAAGAGCACCGCAAACGACGTAGCGACGCTCGTGGATAGGAGCAGTGTTCCTGGATTTCCCCGACACCGAAAGAAACATGGGAGGCAGGACCTGGTAGTACTCGTGCTAGCGCTAGCACTGTCAGTCGTGTCTTGGCAGTCAGTTTTCAGTACACCAGTAGTGGTAGTGGCAGTAAGTGGTAGTGGCAGTTGACGCTGTGGCCCTGCGAGTGTGACAGGCTTTGTTCTCAGTGTGTGATCCGTGCATGTCAAACTGCTTTCCGTCTAGTTCTAGTGTACCTGCAATCACAGAACTCAGTTCCATCCAGTCAGAGTGAGTTTCGCGGAGATCTTCTCACGCTGTCCCGGTGTGTACTGCTACTGTGCTAGCCACCGACTGGCTGTACCTACACCGCCGCGGTGTTAGTGTCGGTGCCTGCTATCGCGATATCCGAGTACGTGGGTGCTGCATGCAGTGGCAATGGGCCACGCACTCTGCGATCCGTCCTGATTCCGGCCTCTTGTTGACCATGTTGACGGTGTTGGCTCGCAGTCACAGTACGGGTACGTTGCCACCACAGCCTGCACAGGTGACTGCTCTCAAATCTAATCCTGCACGTCGTCGGTCAGTGACTTGATACCATTGCCGCGGACGAGTCAGCAGTGAGTCGCCGCCGCGTACACGGAAGCCACAGGTCAGCCGAACAAGCGACAGTCCGTGAGTCGGCGCACTGTCCTAGTTTCCGGCGTCCCCGGACCCTGGCATCGCTGTTAGCGACGCGGCTGTCCCTGTTGGTTGCCCAGAGCTTCGAGATCATCTGTCGGCTAGTAGTGACGGTTTGAAGTCTTGACTAGGATTCCGTCCGTGTTGTTGTCGTGTTGTGGAGAACGGACAAGCTGATTTGCCCCAAGGGAGTTTGTTGAACTACTAGTAGGCTGACTATACCGCCTGACCGAGCAGCTTCCTTTCATCTTCTTGTGCAGATAACATTGCTGTGTGACGGGACAGTGGACGTCTTCCGTTTGCGAGACAATCCGAAAAGTCATCATATTACAACCCAACGCCGCAACGACAATCGGGTTCATTCGGCGTGATCGGTTTCTACATGTACTTCAACGGCGAATGCACCAGCAGATCGACAGTCATAAGAATACGCGTTCTGTTGGACAAGGTCACGTGTATTCAGCGTCCGGACAGTAGTTCCGTCGTCTCGCTCTAGCTGGCAGTCAGGCTACTATCCGAGCTGAGACACTGACTGTAACTCCAGTGCTTGCTTGGTCGACGACGTGTGGACGGGGGAGCAAGGCGGAAAGGTTGCAAGCTGATAGCACGGCCGGCGGTCATGGAGAAAGTGACTGGGCCGCCAGGGGAGCCGATCATCAGAGCAATGGACGTGGCCGGTGGAAGTGGTAGCACTGGTCCTGGTGCGGCTCAGGGAGATGCTAGGCTGCTGAGAGATGCGATGGCGCTGATAACAGGTAAGCTGCGTAGAATAAGAAAAGGAAAAAGCAGAAGTTTTCGAATGAACGCTTGGCTAGTATTATTACCCAATGCTATAGACAGCAAGCTGTTTAGGTCATAATAGGCCTCATCAGCACCGTACGTAAGACGAGCTACCGGACATGGCGCAATTCGTTGCCCTAGCGCCAAGGTGCTCCAACTACGAAAAGCAGCGAGCGATGTGTGATGTGGCTAGGATAACTGTAATCTTTGTGTCAGGATTACCCAAAGGCTGATGTACAGTGTATGTGCACTAGGAATATGGTCATACTGGTGGTATTAATTTAAAGCAATGATGTAATGACTGTAATGTTGTCTTGTCTGGTGTAGTAGCTAAAGATTCGAATGTGAACCTTGAGGGGTGTCTCTGAGAACACAGTACCTGAAGGTGCTTATGATGATCCTGCTGTACATGTACATGTATACCGTTCATGCATGCTGAGTTCCAACCTTTACAGTCCATTTGAAGACAGAGCGTGGAAACTAAAATTGCCTAAATATCTACAAGAGAATAGAGAAAGTCAATTATCTGTCAAAGCGAGTTATGCCTCAAAATGAGATGAGTACCCTTACTACTGCTACATGTACTGAGTCTCGCAATTGTTAGATTGACAGCATGAAAAAAGGTGGAGGACACTGTGTTCAAACAATTGCGTGAACTACAACAAGGTTAATCTAATGCTGGTTTACCAGTGTTGGATTATATCAGTGTACTGAGTCTGTACTGTAATCTGGTGGACATGGACAGGACACAGGACTCACACAGGAGTTCGTCTGGCACTGAGCAGTGTAGTGGCTGCTCATTCACCAGTGTCAGTGTGTCAGTTTTATCAGGCCTCCACTCATGGTCTCAAGTAACGTTAGTTGACATTGACAGTACAGTGGCATTCCACCTCTGACACTCACCCACCTGTCTCTCAGGAGAGTGCCTGTACACACACACACACACACACACACACACACACACACACACACACACGCACGCACACACACACACACACACACACACACACACATACACACACACGTACACACACACGCGCATGCACACAATGACACTTGCAAACAAACACACACACACACACACACACATACACACACACACATACACACACACACATGTACACACAGACGCGCATGCACACAATGACACTTGCAAACAAACACACACACACATACACACACACACACACATACACCTGACCTGACCTGACCTTTGACGCCCATCGCCGGAGGCGATGATAGCAATGCTATGGCAGAAGCCACAGCAACTTGTGCTGGGATTGCACCATTCAACAGCTTGCAAGGCTGAAGAATTGACCGTCACTAATCAGCCTGGTCTACACCATACAGCTATCTGAAGTGACTTTTTCTGGCCAGTGAATCCCTATACACACACACACGCACACACACACACGCATGCACACAATGACACTTGCAAACAAACACACACACACACACACATACACACACACATGTACACACATACATGTAAGCTAGCAGAGTTCACTGAATTCAGTTTTGAGCACTTTGACCAGGCACATTACTCGTTAGGGTCTGGTTTTAATCTGGATTTGAAATTTTATTTTTCATTGCTATCAGGTTCAGCCTCATTTGCTCTGTGCTCCGCTGACGAGCCCACAAAGTACGAAACAGTCCTGTCCGCAGATAGAGTGTACACACATGAGGATATTGCTGGTGGAATAGGACGTATCCAAGCGTTAGTTGGGTGATACTAATAGTAGTGGGCCGTGCAACTGTCAGGATTGATCCTCTCCTGATGCGTGTCTGTTGACCATATTCAGTCACCAGTATGTATCCTTATAATGCTCTCACACTGAGAAGGGGGGGGGGGGCACTACAACCTGATACTGACAATGTGACATGGCTTGGCGGGATGCCATCCTCTCTACCCTGCGCGCACATCAACACCATTAAAACAATCCTTCCTTCCCCTAAGGCGTAAGCTCCATCCGTATCTCTCACTTAGAGCTCTGCGTTGGGCCAAATCGTGCAATACAGATGTAGACGTGTATAGGGGAAGCGATCTATCCATGTGTCAGTCTGTCAGAACCACTCTCTATTTGTAGAACTGCCCAATCAACTGTGGGCAGTTTGAACGCACAGCTAGCCGCAGTTTGTGACTAAAAATGGACATTCACGTGATAACATCTACTAGTTGAGGGAATGCTGAAACGGTGATAAAATGTCATCTTCAAGAATCCCAGTTCACAACTTAGGAGAGAAATAAGCATCCATTCTGACAATTGTCTATTGTGGTGCCTAGCGCTATGCTGCGCTCCTGGCATATGGCAGCGGGTGACAGCAGCACTCTTGGCAACCTCATACCCAGTACAGTCATCCCTCTCTAATCCGGCACTTTATAATCCAGCACCCTCGATAAACCAGCACAATTTTCAGTAGCCAAAATGTCCTCTTCATGCACATTGCAGCAGTAAATCAGATTTGTTAATCCAGCACCCTCCCTAATCCAGCAGATTTTCGTGGCACAAATGGTGCCGGATTATAGAGGGACCACTGTACCCTCCCATTTCCAACACCGCAGTCCACAGTCAATCTGCAGTCAATCTAATCTAGTTATGTGGATGTGACAGATGTGACTACATGCACTAGTATTTTTGTCATTGATTTGCACTCGTAAGTGATTCAGCCACAGTAGTCGTATATCTGCACTCATACATGTAAGTCATCCCGGAACAGTGTTGTCGTAAGTCAGTATCTGTCCAGTTGCAGCAGTACCATTGCCGGTATGAGTGTGTTCCTTCAGTTAAAGGGGAAGTGCATCGATTTTTCGAGTAGGGTCCAGAAGAAAGACAATTTTGATATCGGTTCGAATGGCATATCTCTCACTTCCATACGATAAGCCAAACTTGCCAAATCGCCAATTGTATGGTCACGTTGCCATAGCGACCAGAGCAGTGATGACGTATGAAAGGCTTAGCTCCTCCACAGAGAAGGTCGATCACTGCATAAATTGGTCATTTTTCAATTGTCTTATTGTATTCACGATGTGAAAGAAGTGCTGTGTTCAATGCTGTTAGTGCCGTGAACTATTTATCGCCTTTCTCATGCATTCCCTTGGCTGACTGTGCCTAGGAAATGGTTTCCTCCAGGACAAGATGCTTGGAATTCGCCATCTCTCCTGAGACATTTTCAGCAAACTTTCAAACCTACGACATTATTTCATTCGTCAATCTCCACCACCCGTCGTCTCACCTGGCTTCAGAAGATGTTACGAGAGATAGGAGAGTCGCCAGGAAGCATCTCATTCATCTTCAGGAAGTGGAAAGAGCAAACGACATGGTCCTTGGTTGGGGGAAATGCTGAACGTCTGATTTGTCCCAACCAAGATTTCAGCATTTTGTTCGTCACTATTTTCGCTTGTCTGCTGGTGTCTCCGCACTAAACCAATTGAAAATGACCAAATTCTGCAGTGATCGACCTTCTCTGTGGTGGAGCTAAGCCTTTCGTACGTCATCACTGCGCTGGTCGCTATGGCAACGTGAGTATACAATTGGCGATTTGGCAAGTTTGGCTTATCGTATGAAAGCGAGATAAGAGATATTATGCCATTCGAACCGATATCAAATTGTCTTTCTTCTGGACCATACTCGAAAAATCGATGCACTTCCCCTTTAATTAATTGCCAGTCTTGTCCAGCAATGGAAAACACACGTTGTACACAGTAGAGCATTTTACTCTTTTTTCTTTTTCTTTTTTGAAGATTTCCCAAAGACATAGTCGAAATTGAAGGGAGTTCCATGATTATAATTTTTTTTAAAGCCTCTTCTTATACGGGCAATCACGTGATCACATGATTTCACTGGCCTGACCGCGGCAACAACTGCAAAGCAAAACAAAACAAAACAAATGAAATAAAAAGAAAATGAAACTTTACAATCTGCACATAATGGGAGGCTGTAGGGTTCAGATAGCTGACAGTGCATGGCTGATGAAAAGCCTAGCTAAAAATGCATAGTATAGGCTGAATGTTCCAGAATGGTCCTGTAACCAATAATACCTATAGCCTGGAGGTATGCCTTAAAATACGAAATATACAGAAACAGAAACACGAAATAAGAATAAGCGCAGAGCTCAAAGAAGGACGACAGAGGCATGTCCGTGAGGAGTGGCATTGTGCTTGGTGTCAGAGAAGTGCGTGCAAATGTGACTGCGAAACAGGAACTGCGACTCGGCGAGGCTGTTGCTCTCAGGTCTGCGGGCAGGGCATTCCAGACGATAGTGGTACGGAAGAGTAATGACCTCCTGGCGTGCTTCCCAACCCGTGGCAGAGTGAATGCGAGTTGCTGGCAGCGACTACGCGTGGGGCAGTATCCTGCTGCTTCAAGAAGTTTTGGTTGGGCGGGGACCAGATGGAAGAATTCCATAAGGCAGGCGATATTCCTGCGCCAGGAAAGACTTGAAATGCTTGCATTGAGGGAAATCGAATTGAAGGATTGGAGATGTGGACAATACCGGGTATGGATTGACTAACTTTCCTAGAATTAAAAACTCGGATGTTGAGGGCCAATAGTAATATGGAAAGAGAAAAGGACCTCTCGTCATCATCATTCCTCACCTGAGCCTTCCAAGTTGGAAGGTTGTTGGTTTGCGCTTCGTAGATGTATTGGAGCTAGGTGTCAGGTCGTCGAATGTCTCAATATCCTTGTCAGTTTTGCGCCTCGTTGTCGCACTATCTGACTGTATATTAGCTCGTTACCTTGGTTACCTTGGTGGACTGTTAGTCATAACTATCAACTTAAAGGTCCTTTTCTCTTTCCTAGAATTCACGGTTGTATGTCAATCTACCGCACCTGCTCACGCTTCACAATGTCTATTGGTAGACGACAGTGACCAGCTATGCTACTGAGCTACACGCATGTCACTAACTGTGTAACGACATGGCAGTCATGGCATGCTCTATCCTAAAATTATAAAATGATGCCAAGTAATGTAA